TGGACATGCCCAAAACAGAACCAGCAGCATTTCGTATATATCTCTGCATTCAAGTTTTGGATTTATTGTTCTTCTCGTTCAGTTTCAAAAAAAAGAAATGAGATTGAATTGCAATAGCACCACATATATGAGAGTGAATAGCAATAGCACCACATATATATAAATGAATAGCAAGAGCTTCACATACAGGTGAAACTAGAATAATTAGAATATCGTGCAAAAGTTCATTTATTTCACTAATGCAACTTAAAAGGTGAAACTAATACATGAGATAGACTCATTACATGCAAAGCAAGATAATTCAAGCCGTGATTTGTCATAATTGTGATGATTATGGCTTACAGCTCATAAAAACCCCAAATCCACAATCTCATAAAATTAGAATATTGTGAAAAGGTGCAATATTCTAGGCTCAAAGTGTCCCACTCTAATCAGCTAATTAAGCCATAAGACCTGCAAAGGGTTCCTGAGCCTTTAGGCTGGGTTCACACCTAGACGTATCGAATATGCGCGTTTGTCGCACGTTTTGTGTCGCGCGTTTCGCGGTAAAAAACCTGGCTGTATCCCATTGGATACGCGCGACAAAAACGCCCCAACGAAGCTCCTGTACTTCTCTGGGCGTAGGGCGTTTTGTAGTGCGTTCATACGGACTGTAATACGCCCAGGTGTGAACCATACCCATAGGAAATAATGGGATTTCGGTGTTTGAGCGTTTTGCAGAGCGTAGGAACGCGCTACAAAACGCCCAGGTGTGAACCGGGCCTTAAATGGTCTCTCAGTCTGGTTCAGTAGGAATCACAATCATGGGAAAGACTGCTGACCTGACAGTTGTGCAGAAAACCATCATTGGCACCCTCCATTAGGAGGGAAAGCCTCAAAGGGTAATATATTCTAATTTTCTGAGATTGTGGATTTGGGGTTTTCATGAGCTGTAAGCCATAATCATCACAATTATGACAAATCACGGCTTGAATTATCTTGCTTTGCATGTAATGAGTCTATCTCATATATTAGTTTCACCTTTTAAGTTGCATTAGTGAAATAAATGAACTTTTTCACAATATTCTAATTATTTGAGTTTCACCTGTATATAAGTGTGCATAACAATAGTGCTACATTTATGAGAGTGAATAGCGATAGCACCACATTGATGAGAGTGACTTGCAATGGTGCAACATATATGAGAGTGAATAGCAATAGCATCATATAGATGAGAGTGAATTGCAACGGTGCAACATATATGAGAGTGAATAGCAATAGCTCCACAAGTATAAGAGTGAATAGGAATAGCACCACATATATGAGAGTGAATTGCAATAGCACCACATATATGAGAGTGAATTGCAATAGCACCACATATATGAGAGTGAATAGCAATAGCACCACATACTGTATATAAGAGTGAATAGCAATAGCACCACATATAAGAGAGTGAAATCACAATCATGGGAAAGACTGCTGGTGAATAGCAATAGCACCACATATATGAGAGTGAATTGCAATAGCACCACATATATGAGAGTGAATAGCAATAGCTTCACATATTTAAGAGTGGATAGCAATAGCACCACATATATGAGAGTGAATTGCAATAGCATCACATATATGAGAGTGAATTGCAATAGCACCACATATATGAGAGTGAATAGCAATAGCTTCACATATTTAAGAGTGGATAGCAATAGCACCACATATATGAGAGTGAATAGCAATAGCACCACATATATGAGAGTGAATTGCAATAGCATCACATATATAAGAGTGAATAGCAATAGCACCACATATATGAGAGTGAATTGCAATAGCTTCACATATTTAAGAGTGAATAGCAATAGCACCACATATATGAGAGGGAATTGCAATAGCACCACATATATGAGAGAGAAACAAAATTTTGCTATGGGGCCCTGTGATTTCTAGTTACGCACCTGTATCTATCTATCTATCTATCTATCTATCATCGATGTGTGCGTTTGTACTTTTGCGTGCAGACCCTAATGCAATCGGCTGCGCACAACTACAGGCAGCCACATTGTGCTGGCATGGTCCACTGTTTACATCAGCATCAGGAAGCCAATGCTGGAGCAAATGTAACTAGCTCAAAACTTTTCTTTTGAAATGAAAAAAAATTGTTTGTCTCGGGCCTTCGATCTTGCCATCATTGAGTCAACTAATTTAGTTGGAAAGCCCTAAAAATGTCATCCAGACCTGCTAATTGAATGGAATCCCAGAGGTATTAAACAGCTTTCTTTGTAGCCAGCACATGTCCATTACAATAAGTACAGTTCCCGAATGGAGATCACATTCACAGCTAGAATTTCATTCATTAAGATAAGAAACAAGAAAAACTTTCCACCCGGAGCCTTCAAATGATCTCATCCCTACAGTTGAAAACGATCTGCGTTCTGTTACCGTTATAAAAATAGAATGTATGCTACACACATTTTTTCCAAAAAAATTATTTTGGTGTCTGGCCAGCTTATATATCATCCAGTTATAGTTTAGATGTACTTTAATAATAGAGATCTAAGCTGCAACATACAGGTAAAGGTTGGGGTGTGAGGGCAGCCTAAACGTCTACTCATGTTATATCCAAACACAGGGGCACCCCTACAATTTTCACCGTCTGCGGCCGGGGGTAGGTGGCAGTGCATGATACCAGGAGGGGGAGGTGGCATTTCTTGGCGATGCACATTACCAGGGGATGCACAGTACCTTTGTCCAGTGTCCTGCCCACTCCACTGACATCACTGGTTGACAGGAGATGGGTGAGACTCCAGCCAGAGCATCACAGGTTGCTAAGAGCCTTTAGCAATCTGGGACACTCTGGCAGGAAAGGGGGCAGCAGGCACATCTGACACCCCCCCTCATTTTAGGGGCAGTCCCATCTAGACATACAAGCACTAATTCTACACAGTTGTTTCTAAAGTTTGATGAACTGACAGATCACCTCTCAAACAAGTTATTTATGTGTGTAACCAACATTAAAGGAGAACTATGGGGTCAGGGCCTTTTCCCATAGTTCTCCTTAGGGTAACGGGAGGACACAAACTAGCGTCCTCCCGTTACCCTAAGCTCAGTATACCGCGAGCTACAGCTCGCGGTATACTGAGACGCCGCAGCCGATGTCGAGATCAGCCCAGCTGTGTGAGTGACAGCTGGCTCTGCCTATCTAGAGGCAGAGCCAGCTGTACCCGCCCCCTCCACCGTCTGTTCCGCCAGTCAGCGCTGGCGGATCGGAGAGGGGGGAATCCAGCCCCTCCCCTGTCACGGCAGAGAGCCGTGACAGAATCGAGAGGTGAGGGAACGGCGGTATATGTTCGCTCACCTCCCGATCTACTGAGCCCACCTGTGACAGTCTCATTGTCAAAGGTCGGCTAGAACTATGAGGTGAGTGGAAATCACTCTTCTCATAGTTCTCCTTTAAAGAGTATCTATGGTCAAAAACTACAAATACATATGTATTTCTATATTGAATTTCCATAAGTTCTATCCCACTCCTAATAACCAAATTGATGTAGAAGTTTGTAAACTTACTTATTGAAGATGTCCATAGGATGTGCTTCCTCCATGCACTGACACAATTTCACTCAGCCCTGGGAATATGCACTTCCTTGTGTTATAACTCGCAGAGCCTGCCGTCTGACACTACAACTCAATGTTTGAATAATGTAACATTATCATTGCTTGCTAGAAGCAATGCATGATGGGATGTAAAGTCTTGAAAAATTGGCAGCTCTCACTACATAAAAGGGATTTGTTTGGGGGTAAGCTTTGATTGCATTCTGAAAAACAAGTCTAGTATATATTCCTATTACAATGCTGATGTTATATCAGGATAGTACTGTATACGCTCATAGCACCTGTGACCAGGTAGTGCTGTGGTGTGAAAGCCATTATGTCTATTTTATTTGTTGGTTGTTCTTTTCCTCCATGGCAGGTAAAACCTGAACTAACCGGATCCATGTTAGCTCCATGAGCAGCTGGATCTGAGCAGACTTGCGTCTATTTACATCCGATTACCTCTGATCTGTAATGATCAGGTCCAACAAAACGGAATTGTTCCATTTTTCTTTTCCGGACTATACGGAGTTAGGGGTAATCGGGTGTAAACCGATGGCTTCCAATCAGAACTGCCTGACAAAACCAACAGGTAGATCTGCATGAGTCACCCGTTTGAAAGGGCCCTTAATGTACGTTATGACGCGCGTTAAGGTACATTGTGTTAATGCAGCCTATTGGTAATGAATGGGCTGCCAACGCGCCCTAACATGCCTAAGATTGCACATGATGCTTTTTGTAATGCAACGCAGTATGCTAGAAAGCATTTTAGTGATTTGGGGTGCCATTCTCAGTGAATGTTACTGAAATGCTGACGCATGAATCTGGCCTCATCTTTCCAGGCAACCCTAATTTTCAAGTTTTCATTCTACAGACAGAATCCTTTTTTAAGCGTTTGCTAACTATGCTATAAAATATGCAGCCATGTGTATATTGCTTCCTTTTCTAATGGAATCCACATTTCTCCGGGGGTTATGTTTCTATGGCCCTTGTGCTGCTTTGCTTTATCTCTAGATCTGACCAATCTTTCTTTCCACAAACACATTATGAGCAGTCCCCATTCCCCTTATGCTTGCCATTCAGCACAGGTAGAAATGTCAATAAACATCGGTGATCGGTGAGTGGCAGACGTTAGTGGTCTTCCAAGTTCCCACCTTTACAGACATTCCATGACAATGCACATCGCACATGTCTCTTCCCAGGAAGCCGAAGCTGGCCTGCGGGCTATCACTCTTCCAGGCATGGACGAGAGGGGCGGGGCGTCTCGCAGGCACGGCCACCTATTGGTCCAGGGTCACTGAGCTCTCGCCTTGTGATTGGCTCAGCGCGCTGTATATATAAGGACACACTGGAGACTTCGGTTCAGCTGCTGTTTTGAGTTGTCTGTGGTTCGGTTGTTTTGAAACGGTAGAAATATTAACACGCTCGGTGTACGGAGATCTGATCGGATCACAATGAAGGAGAGAAGGATTCCTCAGCCGTCTGTGGTCAGATGTAAACTGGTCCTAATAGGAGATGTTCACTGCGGGAAGACGGCGATGTTACAAGTTCTGGCCAAGGATTGTTACCCAGAGGTGAGTGACAAATCATCGTTCACGTGTGACTGAGCTCTATGGGCTTTGTATTGGCTGCCCACATTCCCATGTAGACGCATAGCAGGGATGCCTGTGCACTGGGCTGTGACGGCTCCCAGGGTATTGGTGACCTATTGCGGTGTATCAGTGGCTGCTCCCACCGGGGACACTGCTGATTCCTCTGCACTGTCATAGCGACCCCCTCTCCCCGCTCTGCCATGCCGATCCCCCCCTACTATGCCATGGTAATCCCCCTGGACTGCCATGGTAATCCAGCCTGTACTAACATCCCTGCCACGGCTGATCCACCTTCTATGCCATGGTAATCCCCGTGGACTCCCATGCTGATCCCCCTGCTCTGCCATGGTAACCCCCCCCATAGCGACCTACCTCTACCATGGCGATCCCCATGGGCTGCCACCTCTGCCATGGCACTGGGTACAGCCTGTTCTGGGCACAATAAACACGATCGCCCTCGTGTTTATTGTGTCTGCATTTCTTATGTAAAGGAATTTCTATCTTTCAGAATATTACGGTAATACTTGATTGATCCAATTCTATGACAGTTCACTGCATACTTTTATGTTTTAATTTTATGTTTGTAACATTAAATATAAAATAGTAAAGGTGTTAAAAACAAATGGTGGTTTGGCTTATTGTTAGGCTTTTGGTTTTTATTTTGGTAAGCCAGTAATTATCAGTCAGTGTAAATATAATGCTTAGACTTGTGCTTTGTCTCCTTTTGTAGGGTTTTTTTTTTTTTTTTAAGGTTTTATTTAGTATATTGCATTTTAGTGGTTTATAGCCTTGGAATTGCATTGTTCACCTGTCCTTGAGACTGTTTGCAGATATCTGTATTATGCTCTCCAGGTACATTCAAGGCAGATTTCTATTAACTGCATTCTAGGTGGGTAAACAATTGAAGCTTTAGATTAGCAGTATAGCATTGTGAGGATATTGTTGATTGCGCTAAAAGATTTGGCTCTCCTGTCCTTAGTCTGACTCTGATTTTTCTCCTTTGTCTTGCCTGTCTGGATTGTCTTGCTGTGTGGTGCATTTGCCTTGCGTATCGATATCTGTGTGTTGCAGTGGTGCCATCGAGACACGTGTGCTTGCGTTGGCTGCAGTGGTGTCAGTGAGCTGTGTTGCCCGCAGTTCCACTGTGTGTTGCGTAGGTGTCCGCTCCCCTGTGCTTGTGTTGGCTATTATAATGTCCTAGCAATTTAATGTTGCATTGAAGCATCTGTTGGCTGCAGTGTTGTCTCAAGCTATATATGTATGTCTCTTGTTTCTAGACCTATGTACCTACAGTGTTTGAAAACTACACAGCTAGCCTGGAGACAGAAGAACACCGTGTGGAGCTCAGCCTATGGGACACATCAGGTATGAATTCTGGAGGGATCGATGAGACCTCTTGTATTTAACTTCAATAAAACTGCTCACTTCACAACTAATTGCAACCTTCTCTTGTAGATTTCCACTTAAGAGAACCTTTCTAAATACCCTAAATAAATTACTCTGGGGGGGGCTTTCAGAAAATTTATTTTTTGCTGAGTTCTGGATAAAGACAATGGGTGTGCTGAAAATAATGCGGGTATAGGTCAGTAATCCTCGGTACTGTATCTGAACTGTGTTCATCCAAAATGCTGAGAAGGAGTACAGTTATCAGCAGATTCATGCAGTCACATGGATTACCATTCTCTAAACATGTAGTGGTTTCTATGTCGCAGCTTGAGGCGCCTGCTAGACAATGAACAGTGGCAGGCCTGGACTGGCTTTTTGGCAACTCCGGCAAAGTCATAAAGGTGGGGAGTGCCTGTGGGCCAATGGGATTTCCACTGGAATGCTTTGACAGATCATGAAATAGAACAATGCACTGGCTTATCTGCCTTCTGCTGTCAAGGTTTTCAAATTTCTGCAAATAAGTTATACCTCTTAAAAATGCCATCTGACCCCACCTTTTATCAGGCTGTGCTCTGGTTGAATTGAGTGCAATGCTAAGCAACTGAATTGGTTCCTGTTCAGATGTGCTTATCCATTTTACAGGATGCAATGCAGAACAATACAGGGCTGCCATTCAGAGGATTCAGCGATCCTCATTGGTAGCGGGCGAGCTGCTTGGGTGGCGTTGAGCGCTTAGAAATATTGACGGTCAAACCATGGTCTTGTACACAATTTGAGGGGACATGGTTTTTATATGCCAGAACTGATATTGTATTCATTCTTGCCAGTGGTACAGGAATGAAACTAAAATGATTGATGTGGCTATGGTTGTGATAAAAATCAATTTCCCATACTGATAACCTGTATATTACAGTATTCTGTCCAGTGCCTTGAATGCAAGCTGTATTTTATGGAAAGATCAACTAGCCATCAGTAAGGTTTGCAGTCATATGTTGAAGTTTGCATACCTTCAGAAATCCAAGATCGGTCCCCTTTTATGTGTGGTGCCCCTTTCCTTTATAATCGGCCATTTTGACTAGAGTATGCTTCAGTGGGATTCCTAGATGGGAAGTCAGCTGTATGGAGAGAACTTTAGGAAATATCTCATTTTTCATAATAGCAGTTGTCTTCCCAGGCCACATTTATTTGTGCAGCTCATGCAGTCCCCAATGAAAGTAACATACATGTTTGGAAAAACTAAAGCTGGACATGGATTAATAGATTGCGAAAAATCTAACCGAATCCTCCATCCATGCTAAATGGCAGGATAAACGAATCTCCCCCGCTGGACTATTGTGTTCTGACAGCTGGTGGCCACCACTGTCAGAATAATTGAACAGTGACTGTAGCGGATTGACTGTAGTCAATGTTCATCTGCCAACATTCAGCCTGGCCGGCAGGGCTACCCACCATTACAATTGTGGCCGATTTCTGTGACATTCTAACAGTTTGGGGCCAACTTTAGACTGGGCTCACCCATTTCCACTGCACTGTTGCTGTAACACATTTTGAATGGAACCCCAATGCATTAGAACAGTGCATCTCCAATGTGTCTGTGGTTCAGTACACCTAAAATCACAGTAGCCAACTACCATGCATTAGGGGTGTGCTGCATTACCAAATGTTTAGTTTTATTTTGATGTTGCAGCCTATTTATTTGAATGGGATGACTTGAAACAACGCACATTAATGCACTTAAATGTGCATTACCACACTGCAGCAGAAAAGTGTGAACCCAGCCTTTTACATGGAAGACCGGACCAGTGCTGTTGAGCCATTCCTCTCAATGTGAATATAAAATTATGATGCCTCCCTAAACTAACTTGCAGTTGTCAGTGCTGTGATTCTGGTAGCCCATTCACACTGACTCTTTTATGGCACATGTTGCTCAATGGACATTTAGAATAGCCCCAATATTTTACAATGCTGGTTAAAAGGATGTAAACAAATACAATTAGTGTTGATGACCATTTCACCCAAATCTCCAATTAAATTATTGAAAGACCTTTAGGAGTCCTATAGTGAGGGAAGACCGCTGCAATTAAACAATTTTTATTCCCGCACTTGGTAAGCCTCTTAAAGCATCTTGGCTTCAAATTGTTGATAATGTGAGACTCCATGATGAACTCTGCTACACATTCAGCTTGTGGAAGATAACTGCTGCTTAATATGGATGCTGTAATGGTGTAAAGTCTTTAGGTTTAATGGCTCCTTTTTTTTTTGTAAGGAAGGGGTATTGGCCTAGACATGTTGGCAGTTATACAGAAGTATTCTATCAGTTCAATGTGCTGTTCATATGCAAACCTTTCAGCACAGTTAGAGACCGAGGGGTGGGAAAATGCCGTTAAACAATTGAAGGTGGGGGGGGGATAAACTGCAGCTTTTTAACATTCCTCTTCAATTGTTTTAATAACAGAAGAAAAGTTGTAATCAAAGGTTTATTGTGTTTCCTGCTGGGTGCTGTTTAGCTGGTCTTTCAGGCCTGAAACTGCCCGAAGGGAGAAGTGAGATCAGAGACATTGGTGGTCAACACCTAGAACACATTTCCACCCTTAAAAGGCACTTGTTGTTGCAACTGTTAATTAGCAGTGTAAATATCTCATTCCTTTCTCAAAACACAAATCTAATTACTCTCTTTCGTCCCGCATCCTGTTTTATGGCTCTCATTGGTAGAGGTTTAATGACTCCATGTTTTTTCATTATGAAGTCCCTTTTTTTTTTCTGAGAGATTTAAAAGAAATGTGCTCATGTTATCTGTCCGTAGACTTGATTCTCCAAGCTTTAACACCAGAATAAGGATATTTATTTTTAGAGCTGTGACTCATATTTTTATTTCATTGGACTCTACCAGAAAGAACAGGTTTTTTGAGGATCTCTATTCTGGTATTACCTTTTTTGTGATCTGAGGCTTTTGCTGTTAAGTTACTTTCCAGTATGGAATTGATGCACTTCTAAAGTGATATTAAATGTGCTTACGACTAATAAAAGCAAAGGAGACCATTTTATTTTACTCCCTCCATTCTCTGGGGATCACTAACAACCTGATTCACTGGACCATATTTATCACATTTTCTTTCATTACTCAACCGATCACATTTTGGTTTTTAAAAAAACGAGTCTGATGGCAGACAACAAACACTCTTTTCATATATTGAAGTTCTACAAGAGTTCAAATTTTAAAACTTCCTTTAGACGGGTGAAATATTGATACTGGCTATCTTGCTCTTGACTAGCCATGCCTATGCACTATAGGCCATGGGAAAAGTACTTGCTTCATATATTTATCGAAACCAAAATATATGCAGGTTGGAGTATGGGCCCTATAATGCCCAGTTTTTTAAAGAACTTGCTGGTGTTTATTTGAACAGCTCCAACAATATCTTTGGTGACATACCTTTTTTGTTTCTTAAAGCTGAACTCCAGGCAGATATACAAGAGCCAAATACAGCCCTGTAGTCACTAATACATTTAAAAGAAAAGCCAATTTTGTTGGTGCAAGTACCTACGTTTTTACTTCTCAGACTGGAAGGAGGATAAGCATAACGGAGCCAGTCAGGTGTGCTTGTGTAATAAGTATCATGCTGAGTAGAGAAGAGAGCATAGTTGGAGAGTAGCATCAGTCAGCTGCTTCTCCTTTCACTGTTGAGTCACAAGCTGGGGAAGGTACCAAACCTGTAAGTGTTAACGTCACCACTTTGAAACCAGGTCTGCCTGTTCTGCCAGAAAGGGCTGTGTAGCAGAACTGTGTAAACCTCCAACCTGTATAGACAGAAATACAAGGCTATGGCCAATAAAACTTCCTCCATACACTGTATTTCATCGGTGTGCTTAGTCTGTTGCCTGGAGTTTATCTTTAAAGGATGAAGGTCTGCTCTTAACCATGAGACACTAATGATTACATTTGGCTATTTTATTACCTATTGGCAACCAATCCCAGACCTGACTTCACTATAAAACGTTTACCCTGAAGCATTGGATTGCTGCACTTTTAGCAGTTTTAGCAGTTTGTATCATTTTTTGCTTATAAGCCTGTAATTGGATATACATTTTGTGTATAAACAACCTTTTTGTCACAAGGAATAAGGGCAGCACCTTCAATCTAACACTGTAATGATGAGCTATCGGTGACAATAGCAGCCAATCAAATCTGAGTTATCAGCACTTTAACAGACAATTTAATCAGGGGCTTTCTAATTGGGTGCTGTGGGTTTCATCTCTCTCCACATTGTCATTTCCTTTTTTTATTATGGACTTTCTATACCTTGCTGAAGGGTTTCTGTATTTATTTGAATAAATTGTCGCCCTCTACAGAGATGTAATGCTGACATTGATCACTCGGGCTGTTTGCTATGCAAAGCCAGTCTACTAGATGCTGCAGATTGGTGGTGCAAATCTCCCAGCCAGTGTGTAGCTCAAACTTGTACATTCATCTACGCAGTTCTCTAAAAAGCCCCAGGGGAAGGGATGCAGCAGGCATCAGCCAGTCCTTGAGCAGTGCATCAGCCATGGCAGGTAGCCAGCCTGGACCCTTGATGGATAAATATGCTAGCTAAATGAACAATTTGGCCCTATGGCAGTAGATTCACCATTTAAAGAAAAAAAAAAAAAATTATTTGTTTTTTTTTTTTTTTTTTTTTTTTCAACAATCTTATGTCTAGGAATACTTTCAGCACTCTTGGAGCCAGGTTTTATATCTGGACAAAAGCAGCACAATGCAGTGCGCAATAGATACACCTCGAACTCGTTAACTCCTTTTTTGATACATATTTTTATGCTGGATGTCTTGATATTCTGCAGCCTCCTGTCCCCCAACATGATTGGTCTGGCCTTGTTACCATGGAAACTGTTCTAGTCAGGGAGGGGGTATTTGCTATTCTAGGCACGAAGCTGCTGTGCTGAAAATCTGAAGGGGAGGGTGAAGTGGAGAAGGCTTACGGCTTGCAGCTCCTCTGCCCTGCGGGGTGCTGTCCGGGCTTCGTACCCAAGGAACTACATCACTGTGTGTGTGTGTAGACATAATTTTTTCTCATCAACATTGGCGCTTTTTAAATAGATAAATGGTGTCTGTGCACATTGGCTCTCCAGTGGTATGCTCTGCTTGAACAGTCATGATTGCTCCTTCTTGGAGGCAGTTGTTAAATTGATGTGCTGTCCCACACCTCTTCTAGCACAGAAGCGTTGTCACGTAGAAGGACAAAGCAGATAATGGCCTCCTCGGGGAAAGATTGCTGCAGTGCTACAACACATGTTCAGGGCTTGAGTGGCCAACTTGTCCCTGAAGTTGAGCTGCTCGCTGGGGATTTCAGTTCATAGCCAGTCTTTAGCAAGCAGGTATTCTACGTTGTTACAGCAGGGGTGGACAAATAAATATGGCATTCAGGAGCCAGTCTGTCCAATCCAGGACAGGGCAGGATTTTTCTAGGAGCCAGCTCCATTAACAGCTATAGGACCTTAAAAGTTAGGTGTCTGCTGTCATTTTTAGGGAGCATTGGTGACCTGGCTCCTGGGATTTGTCCAGCCCTGGGCTAGTCTGTAATTTTTTTTTCTCCTGCATCTGTGGCCATGTACATCATATTCACTTAGGACTAATGATGGCTATAGATCAGCAGCATAACATTGCTATAATAGACTTGTAGACCTGTTATAATTTATGTAAGGAAACACTGCCATTGTTGTCCATAGTAATGCCACTATTTTATCCTTCTGGGCTTATTTCCTTTTAATTCTGATTGGCTGCCATAGAGGTCTGTCTTTCAACCCTTTTAATAGATGAGGCTTGCTAGTTTTCCTGGGAGCACTAATGTTGCATAACTAGGCTCATCACATAAGGGCAAGGCAACAGTAACCTATAACAACCAATCGGGAGTCATGACTTATGATCTGTGAAATCTTATCTGTTCCCATGGGGTAATGCATGTTGCAGATCGTTGATGATTGCACTACCTTATTAAGCCGGATAATGTTAATATTATGTAACAAAAAGCTTCCTGACCAAATGCTTTTAAGAGCCGCTAAACAGCATGATCCCTGATGAGCTGGAATGCCTGCCCTGAAGCTGGTGTTAATCTTTTCTTGTAGCTGTGACAATGCTATAATGAGCTCAGTCTGTCATACATGAGGCTGCTTCTAAAATAAGTCCTGTAGCCATTGTATAATGACAAGTGGTGAAGCCGTGGTTTTGGTCACAACACTAAATCATGACTCATCACATTTTAAAAACAAGTTAGGTTATTTTTTTAAGTTTACGGTCCTGTTTTGTTTCTCACTCTGCTTATTAATGGTTTTTGGAAAAGCGATTAAGCTCAATGAAAAATGAAGTATAGCCCATAGCATCTAACCTATAGTCGCATCTCTGAACTAAGTATTCAGAATTCTGGACATAATGCTTCATGCATTCAGGCTATGAGATGGCATATTCTTTGGTACATTCAGACGTCACACGGTGACTCCTGGAAGTTAGCAGAAAACAAGTTGAGTTAATTATGTTTAAATTGCCCACTTCTAATCTCCCCCCACTGTTCAGTGGGAAAAGCAGCAAGCTTGCATCTGTCTGACCTTCACACCTGTTGACCATCTGTCTTTTTTTTTTATCTGCTCACAGGTTCTCCATATTACGACAACGTCCGGCCCCTTTGCTACAGCGACTCTGATGCAGTACTGCTCTGCTTTGACATCAGCCGGCCAGAGAGCCTAGATAGTGCTTTGAAGAAGGTGAGTTCATTCTCCCTCTTGTTTGGTAATCTGTGTAATGTTCCATTAACAAGACCCCGTATCTACTGCTATTGGTTTTGTTAAACGTCAATGTGATATGTCACGGCAAATAAATAAAAAATAGTACTTTTTTTCAATACATGCATATCTACCCCTGTTTACCCCTTTAAAAGACCCTTCAGGTACATAAATACCCACTTTGCAAAAGGCACACCACTCTTAATGTCCTCTTGTAGGCTGGCAACTCGCAGACTTTTTGTGGACTGAATGGTGTCAACCCTGTCCAGTTTTCTTTTACAACTACTCAAGCCATCCCACTGTCTCCTCTTCAAAACATAGTGACTAATTGATTTGTAGTCCCATGACAAGAGCTGAAATGGCTAAACAAACTGAACACTGGAAATGTGCAGAGGACATTGGATCGCTCTGAATTTCTGACAAGATAAACAGGTTTTTTTTTTTTGCCCCTTTCAAAAAAAACACTAAAAAGCTTTTTTTTTTTTTTTTTTTTTTGTGGGTTCCACCTCCCCTTCCTGGTGTTTTAGCTTGTTGCATCCCACAGTATGCTGTTATGAGGTGAGCCAGGAATATGGAGAATCATTACCCGATACTTACTGTAATTTTTCCTTTCCTGGCTCTTCCTCCTGTCAGCATGCAATGCCTCCCTAGTGTCCTTCTAACTAGTCTTGTTATAGTACACAGCTAGCAGCAGTATGCTGAGATGAGGATGAGGTAACAAACCGGCTAACTATTTCAGTTAGGTTTCATTAGAGAATGGAGATGTTAAATATATAATAGTGAAAAAACTTGTATATAGTCTTTTCCTTTCTCAAAGCGGTGTCTTCTACAAAACGCATAATTAACATATACAAACAGGCCTCGCACAGTACTAAAAGCTTGAATGCTCCTTCCATCTAATAAACACATCATTATAGTGTCATCACTGTTACACGAAGTAGAGAAGAGGCATTCATGAGTTTGGTCAGAACTGTCCTTGGGGCCCAAGCCTATGTTGCTGATGCTACCGCTGCTCATGGCAGAGAGGGTGGCCTGTGCTCTTTAAAAACTCGCTCCCAAGTATAACGTGAAGTCTACCCTGCTTGTTACATACTGCTTATTCTAAGAACTTGCAAAGCTTAAGCTGTCCCCATGATTTGCAAATGGTAAATGTATTTATTAAACATCCTTGCAATGTCTCATATTAGTAATGCCATAATATAGATTAATTTTGCAATCTAAATGAAGCCACAATATTTGACAGGAATTCTATCCTATTGCTATGTATTTGCTTGGACTAATTGTGGCTTTTCTTCATTTGCAGTGGAAAACTGAGGTCATGGATTACTGTCCCAGCACTAGAATACTTCTGATTGGCTGCAAAACGGATCTAAGAACTGACCTTAGCACAATCATGGAGCTGTCAAACCAGAAACAGGCACCTGTGTCCTATGAACAGGTTAGTGTACATTTTTTTTTTTTGGGTATGAAATACGTGCATGTGGTATTATAATGGTTTCACTTTGAAATAACTTTGTGTCCCCGATATGACTAAAACATAGTTTGTGTAGTTTAAAGGTCTAAAATACACCATTCCCATCTCTCATAGCTACAGTCAAAATTCCCCTCTCAATGTTCCATAGCCTCATATATACCAATGAAAGCAGCAAGGTATTGTGCTAATGAAAGGCAATAACTGTTTTTCACTTTATCCTACAATTCTGGAGACCATTATAGTGATAATGCCATGAATTAAGTCTACATGAGCCCAGGTAGAAAATATTACTTGCTGATTTGAACCAAAGGAAGAATCCAAGTGATCAATCTGCTTGTAACTGGCATTCCAGCCCGCATGCTTTTGGTTTTTTTCCTGAATAGAGTGCACATAAAGATACCTCATGTAGCCCTTCCCTCT